AACAATAATAATAATAATAATAATAATAATAATAATAATAATAATAATAATAATAATAATAATAATAATAATAATAATAATAATAATAATAATATTGTAACAATAGTTTGTATAAACCTGATTTGAGGTCCTCAATGGATCAATTCAAACTATTCCCATCGATAATAATTCAAATTTGATTATTTACTTTTTTTTGTCAAACCTACCGTAACTAATTACATGTGTATGGTTAATTTACCTTGTGGCTCCCACGAGGGTGATGGCAACATGAAGAGGCATGCACGTAAACTAGAAGCACCTTAAAAAAGCCTCCACATACATATGCATAAAAAAATTGCATTGCGAAGAGAACGAGGAAACGTGGGGAAGGTGTAAACGTGTGAAGAAGGGTACGCTGAACTGAAAGGACAAAGTCCAAGTCTTCCTTCCAAACCCCAACTTTATATATCAAACAATATACCCTACCCTTCATTATATTTTAATTAATAATAATTATCATGCTTTCAATTACAACATCATCCTCATCATCATCATTTGCACCCATAGTTTCCCCTCTCAAAGTTAATCCTCCACCACCATGGAATATCATTAGTCTTCATCTCTCACTCTCTCTTCCATGGCCAAATCCTCTTCAAAACCCAAAACTTCCATTTTTCTATGCTGCTTTAGATCCTCTCCTGTTGAGGAATCAACCACAAAAGGGTCTCATCCTGCCTCAAAGATGACCAAGAAGAAGAAGAAGAGTAGTTGGTGTTCGTGGCCAAGGATTCGATTCAACAAGAACTCGGCTTACAAAACGGTGCCGCTTGAAGCCTCCTCAGTATCTCATCATGCTCATTACTCTAAGGCCAGGTCAAAGTCAACTCTTCAGAATAAGCCTCAACCTCCGGTGGCAACCCATCCTCCGCCGCCTCCAGTGCTCCCCGCCACACCCTATTATACGCCCACACAAGTATTTATTTTATTATTGAGCGAATAAATCTTCCATATTTTCATATAGTACTATCAATTTTCAATTCCTTTTGTGAATATGTTGTTATGTTGAGTACTTGAATTTATTTTTTTATTAATTAGTTTAACAAAAAAATTTACAAAATTATTAGATTTGAGTCATAATTAAACAAAATCACTTGAATTAGAATAAATATATATATGAAAACTTCAAGTTAGATTATTATTATTAATAATATTAATAAAAAATATTTTTAATTGAATAATTTTATTTTAAAAAATGCCGCTAGAAGGAGGGCTTGAACCTCCGACCTTGTGGTTAACAGCCACACGCTCTAACCAACTGAGCTATTCCAGCATGATTAATTATAAAAATGAAAAGGTAGAGGAAAAACATATGTAACGATATATAAGGAAGATATACATTTTACATATACATATTTTTAAGGTGTTTTTATCTTTATTAGTTACCTTTTTTTATCATTTTTATTTTTTAAGTAATTTCTCATTTCATTAAAATTTATAAACTTTTAAAAGTGAAACTTTTTATTTTTAATTTTATTTTCCCTCCATTTAAATAAACTGAGAAATGGATAGTTGTTTTTTTTTATTTATAAATAGAATTATTTAGAGTGCATGAGGAAATTAATTTTGGATGAATAAGTTGTTATTGTTAATTCATGTGTCCAGACAAGGCATGGTGCGAGCAACGTAGAGGAGAGACAGGGTAGAGGTTCTCCAGCAGAGGCGAAACGGCAGGGCCGGCGGGTGTCGTCGTCAGTGCAAAGCCAAAGGACATCGAAGAAGGCCAAAAACGCGAGGAGTTCGTACGACCCTGTGGTTGGCATGTCGGTGCTGGTGGTGACCTTAGTGATTATCATATTCTGGGGTCGTTTATGCGCCATCCTCTGCACTTCCCTCTGGTTGTACTGTACTCCGCGTTTCAGGAACATTGGTGCCGTAAACGACGATGACCGTCCGCATACGACCAAGTCAAACGACGGCTATTTTGATTCTGAGGAGTACAAGAAAAAAGTCATCATGGAGGGCCTTCTTGAGAGAAATCACAGACCCACCCTTTGAAGAGTCTTGCAATTAGGTAGGTGGTAATGGATATGAAAATCAAAAACAAAATTGTAAATTCAAAAAAAAAAAAGGTTACCCTACACATGTTAAACTAGTGTAAATTACTTTTTTTTTTCAATCATGATTTTGATTAAAATTTTAATTTTAACAAAATGATCAAAATCATCTGTAGAGACCATAAGCCAGCGGGTGTGTCTTTAATTTTACTAGTTTGATTGTTAATTTGATGCTATTATGGTGTTACTTTTTTATTTTTAGTGATGGCACTGTGTATGAGTTATTCAATATTGTTAATCGTTGTTTTAGCAATAAAAAGAAAATCTACATTGTAACATTGACTAGCGTATTTGGGTTTCTGTATATTAGAACTAACATAAAATAAAGTAAGAAATTAATAATAAGAGAATGTAAATAGTGTTTTAGGAGGTTGTCTAAACTTAATTATTTAGAAGCTTCATAAGATATTAATTAATTTGTTTGAACTGTTATTTAGTACCAAGAGTCTTGTCTGTCCTAAACAAGAAGATGATTGTATTATGTCTATGTTCAAAGAGGTTCAAATTAATCATTTCCTCTAAGAGGAAATGACTTGAAGACTTGACTCAGATGACCAATACTTTGACCCATCTATTAGAAGGTTTCAGTTAAATCATAACTTCTTATAAAACTTGTACTCAAAAAGTACCTCATCTAAAGAAAAAGTTGACAGTATCAAAAACGGCAAAGTACAATGATGTCAACTTTGCTTAAAAACTAAGCTAGTCACAACAAATCTATTTTAGTGGCTATAAAAGGAAGATTAAGGATACACATTATGGAAGCAAGCAAGATAAAAAAGATAATAAAAACACAAGCTATCAAGCTACAATCCTTGCTTCATGCTCTAATTTGTTCAGAGATCTTCACTTTAATATTTTGTATCAATCTTGTAATAGATACAAGAAGTGTGAATCTTCCTTAGTGAAAGATCCAACTTAGGAGAACATGTTGTAATCTTAGCAAAGTGCTAAGTTACAAAACCCATTTGTAAAACCATTCCTATCCAGATATGAGTTTGAAGAGGTGTAGGAAGGAATAAAGGAATCACAACAGTGGTTGTGTGATCTCATAGTAGGTGGTTGTGAAGTTGGTTTTCTCATCAAGTTATTGAGTGTACAATCTCAATAGGTGTCTGAATGTTTATCACTAACAATAGGTGGTTGTGTAGTGATGTTATTGTATTAGCAGGTGGCTGAATTGTGATTAAACAACAATTAGCTATGATAGTGAAAATCTCATAAGTTTGTTGGGGACTAGATGTAGTCCAATTAGGGTGAACTAGTGCAAAATTCTGTGCAATCTCTCCAACTCTATCCATTTACTTGTTTATTTACCTTACTGCATTTTGTATTTTATTGCTGCATAATCTGTTGAAAAAATAAGTTAACTCATAAACTATTTTCAAAAGAATACTCCAAGTTTAAATACTCAAAAGTTTACCTTTTGAAGAAAAAATTTCCATAAAAAAAACTGATTTAAAAAAAATAATTTAACCCCTTTTCTGGTAGCCTAACAGTCACTTCACTCACTCATTCCCCTTTACCTTGATGGATGCCAAACACTTGATGGAAATCTCCAAGAGCGTGTGTTAGAAGAGTTTGTGAGGCAACTCTTGTCTTACTAACATATTTATATAAAAAGATACTAAACTTTATCCTGTGTAATCAGTCGTAAAATTGCATTAATCCACTGTCAACCCTAAACCCTAAACTAGTCAGTAAAATTCCATTAATTCATCGTCAATTATTCCTATCTTGAAATTCAAATAATTATCTATTATAATTAAACTAGAAAATATTTCTTTTTATCAATAACTCTTGTTTTAAAAATAATCCCAATTGATTAAATTTAAAATTATTTATTAATTTATTATGAAAATTGGAATGTTACAAACCCAACCATATTAAGAAAAAAAATACAAACTTATCAACGTAAAATTGGGTTGGATCCTAAAATGGGTAAAATTTGACTTAACCTGACCCGTTTACACCCTTATCTTACATCATGCTAAAGTAATAAAGGGAGTGAGTAAAACATGTGTTCACAAAAGCAATAAAGAGTTTATAATGTCCTTTATCAACTCCAAACATATGCAAATGATGCCATTCAATTTCCCTACTTTTCTATCTCATGCATATGGTATCGTGTAAAGAACATTTGAAAGTGGAAGAGTACATATAGTCACAGCTCACCCTCTCACATGATAAGACCGACACTAACATTATTCAACTAGTATGATATCCTCCTAGTGACTAGTCAGCTAGGGTCACCTAGCTACAATAATACGTCTTAACTCATTATGAATCAACATGGACCATTGGGGTTTCTTTGCTAGATGTAATCTCCCCCCAAGGTTAGGGTTAAGACTGGTCTAACATATTTTAAGACCTAAAACGAGTTTTGAAGTTAGACCTTTTTAAAGATGAGAAAGAAAATCAACAGTCATCCATAAAAAAAGGAACTTTTAGCAAAAAATTATAATACTAGAATCAAATCCCAGTTCGTACAATGTTAGGCTTAAATAATGATCAACAAACCAAAGTCAGTATTTTATAAGTAAAAAAAATATTTTGAGGGCCTAAAGTTAAGGCTTAGACAACCTTATGCTTGGGCCGACCCTAGTTAAGATTTACAACCCTTTGTAGCCTCCACTAGATAGGTTCATTAAATATTTTCTTAAAAACAACATTCCATCGTGATAATATACATCTAGTAATTTTTTTATGTTTCATAAGTTTTCACATGGAGGACCACAAAGGGCTGAACATGATCTCATAAGGTTTCACATTTAGGACCCTATTGTTACTATTGTATATTTTTTATATTTCAAAAAGGTTAACTAATTTATTCACAAAATTATATTAAATTTAAATTTAAACTCAAAACTATTATTTTATTAATTACAAGTTTTAATGTTCAATTAATATAAGTTTTAATAAGATATAATAATATAACCATTGTAGTTATAATTATTTTATCAATATTTTAAAATTAATTAATTTTTATTTTTATGATTAATCGTAGTAACAATGATTAGATTCTTTTTTTATAAATACCTGAGCACTCAAAAGAGTTGGATGCACTAAGCATCGCTCTCCCTTTTATTTTTGCTCTCAACTCTCTCTCCCTCTATTTTCAATCTTTTATGGATTAGGAGTTTGTCAGTTCTACACTCTCAATTTAAGTATTAGGAATATCCTATTGTATCTTACATGCATGGTGCATTCTACACTTGAAGAGTTTGATTTGAATTGTGATGCGTTTAATTTGATTTGTGATCTCAACAACCTACAACAATAATTACAAATCAAAGTTTCATTCAAATAATAACAATATACAATAATATTCTTGTACATTTTTTTTATCATCATTCATAGCATATTCATATATATCATTCAAATCATACACACAACATTGTTAACAAGTCATAAATTCATTAGGTTAAAACATAAAAATAGGAGATCCACGCTAGGTTTAGGTTTAGGCTTAAGAGACTTCTCATTAGAGTATTTTTTAGAGTCAAAAAGGACAAAAGTTGGATTTTTTTTAAGTTAGATTGGATCATTATAATCCTTTTTATTTATTTATTTTAAATATTTTAATTATAGAAACTTATTTCATTTCAAAGCCTAAATATTTCTAAATTATTTATTTAATTAAAACTATGACATAATATTTAATTATAAAAATTAGAATGTTATAAAGACAAACCAGATTAAGAATGTGTAGTAAGTTTGACGGTATATTGGATACTAAATTAATAATGTTTACACGTATAAGAATTGATTTATTTTACTTACAAGGATCAAATTGAAAATTTACATTCCATATAGGGACTAAATTACATATTTAATCTAATTTAATAATTATATTACTTTCTAATATATTTCTTAGAAAATATCATTAACATATCCCTTCAAGAATGAGAAAATTCACTTTGAATACACAAATTTTTTCTTCGATAGACAACCGGATTGTTCGTTGCCGGTTTCACGGCGGCGTTTTCTGAATGACGTCTTCTGTGTAAATTGTAATGTATGCGAAGACCAATCAATATAAAAAATTAAAGTCAAAGATTGCGAACAAATATATATATATATATATATATGCCGGGAGTTATAATTACACCGATGTAATTTTTATTAAGTATTATATCGCTGAATAACTTTATATTAAATGTGAATTTTGTAAATCCAACCGTAAAATTGAAAGTTCATATCACTTTATAAGTGTATATAAATTTTGTTAAAATTAAATGATAACTTGAAGATAATCAAAATGTTCATATTTTAATGTATTTTAAAATGAATATATTACGTCAATCTTACGGTTGAATTTACAAAATTCACATTTAATATAAAGTTATTGAGCAGTGTAATACTTAGTAAAAGTTATGCAATGTAATTATAACTCCCTATATATAATAATTTTTTTTTTTTTGGGATTGAAATAGATTATTACTCAGAATCTTACATTCGAACTCATAAATAATAAAAAAAATGAGTTAAATTGAGGTAATTTATTGGTTATCTTTTTATTTAACAGTGTTATTAAAAATTTTGTGAATCCTTTTATTAGAAGAGTTAAAATTTAAGTATTTTATAATGTTTTTAATTCAAATTGCTTTTATATCTTAAAATATTTAATATTTATGTTTTGGGGTAAAAGGGTGTGACAAATTTGGTGATAGTTCAAAACATCTTATCTTATATTATGGAAAGTGTTAACATTGGAGCGATTTTTGCACAAAAAGTCTGACCAAATGGAAGACAATATGCTTAATTTTGGTTGGATTAAAAAATAAGGGTTAAAATGACATTTCATGATGTCATTAATTATAATGTTAATTTCTTTTAATTTTTTTTGTTGAAATTATACATGATAAATAATTATCTTATTATATAAAGTTGTTAATATTTAAGCAATTTCTCCCTCTCCAATGTCCATCCAAATGGGGGACAATTTGGTAAATTTCTATTTGATCAAAATAAAAGTTAATATGACATTATCTAATGCTATTAATTAGTTTTAATTGTTGGTTGAAATTATAATAATAAATAACTACTATTTTAGGATGTGCAATCAATGCACATTTAAAATGTATATTCTACATATAAATAATAATTATTATGTTTGAATATATAAATTATATTTAAAATTTATATAAGTAGATATTTTTAAAA